TTTGAGAACCACTGAAACTTTTCTGGATTTTGTTTCTTCAATTTTAATCTACTATCTAAGTTGCCATATTATGAAAATATTACGTTTTTTAACTAAAAATTATAAAATTTTCCAAAATTTTTTCAAAAAATTCCAAATTTTCACATTCCTTTTTTCGCGAAAAAACTCGTAGACGCGTTTCTGGGATCGAAATATACTACCCCTAAAAATATTTGCACTTATTTAAGACTCGCCCTGTATAATAATTATGGTATTACCAGTTAAACCTTTATTATTTGTGAAAATTTGTTTGTTGTAAAACAAAATTGTTTTTGAATTGAAATACTGAACCGAATTTTACCATGATCATTTTTAACATCGAAAAGATATGTTTTTAATACGAGGAACAAAGGAGCCTTAACAACCGAGGGGCTTAAAAAAACCGAATGACCTTGAGCCCACTCTCACCACAAGAAGATACAAAACGGACTGGTAACAAAAGAGTAAATCTTAAACCTTAATCCACTTAAAGAGGTCCATGCGATGTCCAAGATACATGCCACAGCCTAATGACATGCCTGTTAAAGATGGACGTATAGTCAGTCAATGGGATGTGAGATATTTTTTATAATATAATAAAGCATAACTTAGCAGAATTGTCATAACAATCGATAGTTGTTAGGGATAAGATTGAAGAGTATAAAGATTCAAGACTAAAAAAACGAATTTTGTTTTTCTATCGCTCAGAGCATTTATAGAACAGAACCAGAACAAGGAAAGATTTTCTGTCAGGTTTCTAAATCGACCGATGTATCATTATGACAAATTGCTTGATTTCAGAAATGTATACGAATATTACCATTGGAAAATTTGGTATTTAAATGATATAACTTCAGAAAAAACTCAAGAAATATAGAAACTAACTCTGATTTTCTAGAACCCAGATATGTTCTGAAATTCCATTACTCATTAAAATATCTGTAAAAGAAAATCTATTTCTACTAATATTTGAAACTTTTAAGAATATTGTGAATTTATAGTATAAATAAGATAAGAAATTAAATTAATTTGAAGTTATTATGTATTATATTTATATAAAAACACTCAAAATGACACATTCCAGTTATCTAAATTTTTTCTAATGCAAGCATATCAGTTCACAGGGAAAAAGAATATTGACATGCATTTGAAGTACTTATATTTAAATTGTATTAAATTCTTTATTTATTTAATTTAATTAAAATCCTCTTCACAATAGAACGTTTTTATTACAAAAACTTAAGATTTTCGTTACATAAAATGCAAAAAAAAAATCTAAAATGTCTTAATTACATGAATTATATCAAGACAGAACTAGAATTTATATAGTTTTTATTTTATTCATTATTTAGTAGACTGAATATGTACTATGTTTCCATAAAATGTCATATGTCTATCACAAAATTAGAGTTACCAATTTTGATGAGGCCCTTACATATACAGGCAGCATTTTCTCCAATACTAGTGTCTTTTGACTAAAAGTTATTTATTTTTTCGAATCATTTCCGTAAATATTTATTATTTTATCTATTAAGATTTCTTTCAGTATTTTTAATATACTTCTAGTTCATTTTCTTTAATTCATTTTATATATTATACTTCATAATTTTCCATTTTGATGGGGATGGGATGCGGAATTCCAGCAATTTATAATTTTCATTCCTGAGATTTTCGAATTTTTTCAATAATATATTTTTCTTGCTGTTCTTTTTCAAAGAAATTCTAAATTCTTCAGGATTAAAATATCAGAATTTTAATAACAATTTCCTGTTTACTACTGACCTTGAGAAATTACAAAAACGATACCAGAAAGTCAAATTTACCAAAAGTTGCCAATGCCACCACAAAAAGAACGAATTGGTTCTACAAGAAATCGATTTATAAATTCAAATTTTATCGTGGGCTTGTTTGAAATAATTTAATGATAGGTGTAAAAGAAAAATACTTAGTCATTTTCTGTCTGCGGATTGTCTAGAAGTTTGTCCCCAATACTAGCCAGCCACTGGTGTGAATAGAGTTCGTATTGTTCAGATCATCTCTAAGAATCCTAAAGTCATCAGTTAGTTGGCTTAAAGAAAACACAAAACTATATGGTCAAGTCATGCAGACTTGCAATGTAAAGTGCTATTTAAATGCCCAATGCTTCCTTATAGATGTTTTTTTTGCTTCAGTTAGACTTTTTTTTGTTTAATCATTGTTTACCCCAGTCACTGACCAGTTGAGACTCTATAATTGATCTGTTACTAATAGTAATCATATTGTGATATTGGTAGGATAACAATTATTTTGATTGCTTTTCTATCTATTTACCCCTTTGAATTTTCATTTCAAATATCTTTTTTTTTTCAATCGAATGGTATAATTATTATTGTTTGGGAAATGTTATATATTTGTGAAACATTTTGATCTTCGTACCAAAATCGAATTAAAGAACACGAATATTATTCAAAAAAAGAGATTTTCTGAAATCTAAGATTTGTCAGCATTCATGGAACACAGGACACGGAGTACACCGATAGCCCCTAAACAAAAAATAAAAAGGGCTTTTTGACTAACCAAATATAAACAAATGTGTTGTCAAACATCTGTAGATGCATGGCTATCGCTTCTTTGATTTTTACAACACTATATAAAGAGATCAATTATTGCAATTTGAATTAAAAGAAATACGTTTAAATGACATTTTAAAAGATCAATTAGCTGACGAAATGATTTGCTGAAATCATCATCGGGTATATAATCGAATATTCCGATCGCATTACAAGATGACATATGAAACAATGCATCGTTAATTTGATCTTGCGTCTTCCTTACAAAAGCCGATGCTCCGAAACGAAGAATAAGAAAAAAACGCGCTAGTGGAAGAAGAGGTGAAGAATTTTCATCATTAAAGGAGGACATACACTGTTCGAAATTTTAAATTAAGTGTTACGAAGGCAGGTGTCGGGTATGAATAAAAAACGCCAAAAAAGGCACTGGGTCTTCGGTATAATATAACTTTTTATTCCGCCCAGCGCACACCGTGACTCCACGTTTTTAACATATACGAATGTTTCTCAGAATGCCCTCTTCGAATCACGAAACATCCTTATACAGGGCCTTTTTTGTACCTCGACCACAACCTCATCGATTCGTCAATTCAATTATACGGTCTTATTCTTATTTTTGCAATTTCTTACCAAAATTAAAAAATGTATTTTTATCATCAGAAGAACATTTCTCTTTTGAAAGATATAAATTGGTGGAGGGATGCGAAAAATTGGAGCATAAAGAAGGAAATGACAATGCTTTTTTACCGAAGAATGGAACCCCACCAGGGAAAAACACTTAGATTTGAGAAAAGCAGGGGGAAATATCCAACAAAGGGACTGATAACGATATCATTCAAATTTTACTTAGAAGCAGTGTTAATTAGGTCTGAAAATAGTGCCTTTATCTAAAAATGTTTTTTCTCAAACAAAACAAGAATTATTATGATTGTTTTTCCGATCTGTTTTTCTAACCCGCATAACGAAATTAAACTATATAGCCGTCTGACGGCTGAGAACATATTAAAAAGCCTTGAAGGGGATGAAAGTTTTAGGTCTTGCATCTATTCTAGAATACTTCCAACAGTAGCGATGGCGTTTATGACTAATGGTCCTCCTTGACGTTTGATGAGGTCAGCAAAATTTTTCTATTATCCCCCGGCTGTATTAATGATTTTATTTATTTTTGACAACGATTTCTAAGTCCCCAGAGGATCCAGATATTTCGTTTTGGTCCATTATATCCGCCAGGTACGGCAAAGTTGACTAGGAAATATTTTTTTTAGACGTTGTGAACAGTGGGATATTTTTTCTCAGTTTCTGTTCGGTTTAAAAATGTTAAATTGGCTGATTAATACCACGCAAAAACAGTTATTAACTAATAAAAAGGACGACCAATGGATGAGTTTACACGTCTGATTCAATTTCGTACGCTTTATTAAGTGTTTTAACTTCAACATTATAGTAATTTTTAAACCTAATTGTAGTTGTTAGTGTAGTATCGTCAGATCTTAATGTTACATGATTTTCTACATTCTCAGCTATATAGTTTCAGAATTTTCAGTCAAGTCTTTTAGATCTAAAAATAAGTTGCTTTGCTTATACAGTATGTCCCAGTTACAAGAAGAAAACCGTTTTTATTATTGACATTTTGAGGAAAATGCATTCTTCATAAAAATCTTTTTGCTTGTTCTAAAATGGTTTAATTGAAAATTAAAAAAAAAATTGAAAATATAGTTGAATTTCCAAAGTCCCAAATATCAAAACGCCTTTCTATGGCGATATAATTTTGTTTTCATTCTTTGATAAATTTTTATTGATAGAATTTTAATTAGCGTCATATTTTTTGCTGTTTTAAAATGTTAAAGAAGCACAAAATTTATTTGGTTCAATGCTACGGAAAGTGTGATAATATAGTATCGGAAAATTTTGGTTTTTAACAATTTAACAACAGCAAAAAAATATAACATTAATCAAAATTAATAATACCCATCTATTAAAGAATGAAATGTAAATTATATTAACTATAGAAACGACTTTTGATTTTTTGGACTTAACCATAATATCAGGGTTTTTTATTTTTCTCAGAAAAAAACGATATGGAAATTTGGAAAAATATAAACGGGATTAACATTTCAGAGCAAGCAAAAATTTTCTATGAAGAATGCATTCATTCTCAAAATGTCAATAATAAAAAAGTTTTTCCTCTTGTAAAGACATACTGTATCAAGGGATGTTTTTTTAATAATTTACAATTTTTGGAAATTTCTAGATATCAGAGATTTTAGGGAAGAATATATAGGATATAAATATGATATAAAATGTATTTTTCTATATTTGGGCAATGCTAACATATCCAAAATAAAAAAAAACTACTTATTTTTAGAAAAAAAGTATGCTTGAAGCAGTTTCAGTGTTGATATAATTTTTTTCTGTTTATGATGATTCTCTTACCTGTTTCTGTATCGATGGTGTAGTCAACTCCCGCCCAAATATCTTCTTCTGCAGCATCTACTTCTGGTTTTTCTTCCTATTAGGGAAACAGACAGACGATTTTATTAAATACCATCAACTATAGTATAGTAGTTTCTCGTACCTTAATTTTTTCATTTTCCTTCTGTTTGAGCTTTTCCAAATTCTCTTCAATCGAAAGTGAAGTAGAAGGATCCGCATCATTTTTCAGTAACTCCGTTGACTTTTCTTGCTGTTCCTCTTGCCTGGCAGCCTCCAATGAAAAGCCGAGATCCACATCCTGCTTCCAGAGGACTTCGATAAGATCCATGTCCTGAAACAACACCAAACAACATTGTTATTCTCGCAAATCGTAGTATTATCCCGCTGTTGCACATATTGCGTAATTTTATGATAGCATTTTAAATGAATTTAGTTTTTGAAGCCTCTAAAACCCCTTTACTTGGTATACAAACAATATGTCAATAATATTTACACATTTTCTTAACAAACTGATTTCCGACAAACGTGATATTTAGTGAATAATAATAATAAAATAAATAGTGAAAAACATTAAAATGTTTATTATCAAAGAGAGAATCAAATTTTAAAGATCGCCAGTTTATTAAATCTATACAAAACAGAATCAAACATATTTGCAGGAGAAAAAATGAACCGAAAATCTACTTACAGCCTTTTTCAGGACCTTTCATATGTACGGAAAGGGTAAATCTACATCAAACAGTATTAAAACACACTTGAACACACCAAACATTCAAGCATCGGAAAGAATACGCAACACATACATTGGAAATAACAAGCTGGATGCTAAAAACTGCCGCGAGATAACGGGCTAAAGCTAATTTTGAATAAATGATAAAGATAAGATTATTTTTTATTTTAATTTCGACAGCGAGAGAGAGTCGGGGACCTTGAAGCTAAATACCTTCTTTTTTCTCACTCGCGATTATCTAAAATCCATTTTTTTAATATTTCTAGAACATTTATTGTTGCGAAATATGATTTTATTTACTAAACATTAGGTTTCATATAATATGTCTTTATGGTTCGACTTTTTTCAGCCTTATAACACAGCTTTTAAGCTCTTATCTTAATATTTTACGTCATAAACGTATTTTTTCTATTTTTTGTATTGCAAGGATTTGGAAATGGTATGTATCATTGAGTTACCATTAGAGCAATCCATTTGTGTTCAATATAATTCAGAAATCACATGAAACATGGATGATAGAAATATAAATAATTATCTAGTTTAAATTTTAAACAATAATTTATTATTGGACTATAGTACAGAACTATGCCAGGAGATAACGTTATTTCGTAGCGATTTTGAAATTTTTTGCGTAATAAGGTATAATATGCTCTTTGAAGTAGTTGGAAAAAATCAACAGCTTCAACATTTTAAACTGTTTTTAGTGGATGTCAAATTTTATAAAGTATTTATAAAATTAATATACAATAAAATATATTCGATAATTTCCTGTAGGTACACAATAAATTTTATTGGGATTGCTGAACCTTATCGGCTGTCTGAATATTTCTATATACATATGTATCTATAGTGTAATCAAAAATATTAATGTCTAAAAATAAAGTCATTTTTAAAATACATAGATATACAAGAGCTGTAAATGGGATTTTCATTTTTTCTCTACAGGGTGAATCTTAATTAAGTGCTATTTTTAAGGGGTAGTATATTTCGACCTCATCAGAAAAAACATTATGGGTTTTTTTCGCCAAAAAAAAATGTTGAAAATTTGGATTTTTTTGAAAACATTATTTATGATTTTTTTTTAGATTTAAGTTAAAAAACATAATTTGTTGATAATATGGCAACATAGGTAGTAGATTAAATTTACAAGAAAGAAAATCCTTGTATTCCAGTGGTTCTCAACATTTTAGCAAAAATTTTTTTTTGAAAATTTCAAAGTAAAATAACTCGGATATTTTGGATTTATTTGAAAAACGGTAAGGAGAAAATAATGGTTCTTTTATCGAGATCTACCAGCCCTGAAAATATTTGCATTTATTTAAGACTCACCCTGTATATCTTTATTAGTTCATTATTTACTAGTAGATTTGCAGAAGCAATAATAGTAGATTTCCAAAACGAAGGCTATTTATTATCTCTAATAATTCTAACTCCATTGACGGACGTATCTTAATCAAGTACATACATAAGTTGATAAGATAAAAACAAAGATATTACACAAGTTCGTAGTATAGTAACCAAAATTAAATTAATAATTTGATTCGTAGTATTTTATTCATTCAAAAGAGAGTAAAATGAGGAGGTCAGCCCAGAATTTTAGAGAGAGACGATATAGATATTTTTTATCATAAATAGTAATAATAAGATATAATCATTACAGATTGATGGTACAAGAAAAGTTAATTAATTGATAAGATAATTACTGTATTTTGCTAAAATGAGTTAAAGCATCGCTATGGTACAACAATATGTTTAAATTGTCTAATTTTATTCTGAAATGAAGTACTGTATCGAAAAAAAAATGGCGTCAGAGATGGCTGGGAAATGATTATTTATTAATGAATATAGTGATGAGACTGGTCTTAGATGGACTCAAGACCAAGAATGCCAAGCTCTTTCGCTCTTGTATTTTTTTTTCACGTTTATGTGATATAAGAAATTATTCATTTGTTCAAAATTATTTTTTTAATTAATTACAAGCAGTGTTTTCCCATTTATTTTTTTAAGATTTATTTGTATTAAATTACTAAAAATATTATTTATTTAAAGATTTTCTATTAAAAAATGCAAGACTTGCAAGAGTCTTGCAGCAAGAAGAAGACTTCTTATTAAATACAAGATCAAGCCGAAGGTAGTCTTGGTCTTGTAGGTTGCTAATCACAATTAATGAACCAATGAAATTACATACTTTTAAAATTTAAGTATTTTGCTCCCTTGAAAAACATCCCGCTAAGCCTAGTATTCTTTGAAGACTTTCCTGGAAAATCCCATAAATGCCGAAACAAAAACCGTCAAGTTGGCTTGGAATGCTGACCGATGACATTCATATAATTTTTGGTGATGAGATACAGAGCTTTTGTAGTAAAACAAATTCTGATTATTTTCAAATGTTAATTACAAAAAATACTACCTATATTTATTGAAATATTTTCTATGTAGAAAGTGCATTTAGTAAAAATATCCTTCATCTTGGTCTTGCGTTTGCTCAAAACTATTAATAGAAGATAATAAGAACCAACCAAACTACTTTTAAAATTTAAGTATTTTGCTGTTTTCAAAAACATGGCTAAGCTTGGTATTCTTTGAAGATTTTTCTGGAAAATGCCATATGATCGAAAATAAAAACGGCGTCAAGTTGGTTTGGAAATGCCAATTAATGGCATTCCCCATATAATTTTTGGTGATGAAATGCAGAGATTTTGTAGTAAAAAAGGTTGATTATTTTCGAATTATTGTCTAGTAATAAAAGTTGCGACTTAGATGTGAGAAAGATGAAAGCTATAGTTTAATTTGCAAAATTGAAAAGCGGCCTGAACTAGGTTTGATGTAGAAAATTTGGGAGGAGCGTGGCATAAAGACAATGGGTGTGACAGTGACAGCTGTGGGGTAGCAGAATTTCTATGAACCACACCTTTGTCTCCCGCGTGGCTGCTCGAATAAAACCCGCGTTTGGAGCAGTCACGAAGCGACGCCATCTTGTCGACCCGCTGCGATGTATCTTGCGTGCATAGGCGGCGCATATCGTTTCAACTTTCTCAACATAATATTATACCAACTTTACGGCATGAAAATTCTCCACTGCAAAAAACTCCAGTTTAATTTTCCAAAAAATGTTCGTAAAGATACTCTAAATATTGTCCTTTAAAGGGTTGGAAAACATGAAAAAGGCCAGAAATAGTAAATTATTCGATTTTTTTCCAATTCCGTTTCTGTTTTTTTTTTCAATTTGACCAAGGCCGTAATTTTTAGAAAGAGGGTCCAAAAAATTCATTTTCTTGCAAAACCAAGGTACCTTCGATGGTGATGAATCTACATAAAATTTCCTACAAATGCCAAAATTTTTATAATTTTATGAACATATTACTATGTTTCTAAGGCCTTTGAAAATGATTAAAAAATAGCCAAAAATGGGCCATATAGTCCTGAAAATTGGCGATTTTAGAATCGAAATCGAAAAGATGTAGGATAAGAAAATATCTGCCATTGTAGCCTAACGAGAACAGTATTAGATGTAGGGGACGTTTTAACCCTCATCAATAATAGCTGAAAAACAAGGGTCCAAAAAATTAATTTTCTCATAAAGCCACGTTACCTAAGCTTTCAAAGGTGTACATATTCTGAATCTACATAATTTGCTATATCTAAATACTGAAATTTTCATAATTTTGTGACTATGTTTACTATTTTTCTAAGATCTTTGAATATGTGTAAAAAATAGCCTAAAATGGGCATTTTTGTGACTTTTTTCTAAACATGTCATGAAAATTGGCGATTTTCGTCATGTCACCGATTTTGTTAAAACTTCTGTTAGTTAATTACTAACTGAAAGGTGTAGAATAAGAAAATATCGGTCATTATGGTCTTAACGAGTACCATATTATCTGTAGAGGAAGTTCTAACTCCGCCTAAATTTTTTTTCTCAAAAACAAGGTTTCAAAAAATTAATTCTCACAAATCCACAGAATTTGAACCAATAAAGGGTTACATATTCTAAATCTACATAAAATTTTCCAAAAATAAAGACATTTTCAAAATTTCATCACTATTTTTAGATACTATTTTTCCAAGGGTTTTGAAACTATGAAAAAAATGTCTCCAATTTTTTTTAACTATAGTAACCGTAGAGTTGAATATATATTTATTTGTAGTCTCTAAGTATGTTATCATTTAGGCTTATTTGGTTAGAAAAATTGTTGATTTTGAAATCAAAGACAGACATTTCAGTTTAATTTGTATCTTTAGATTAAAATCCGTTCACTCGAGAACAGTATAGGTACGCTCATGCGGCCAATATCCAACGATAGGTTTTCGTTTTTTTTTGTTATTAACTCATGATATAACTCACGCAGAGCTTTAATTTTCTTCGTATATTAAGCATAATGGAAAAGTAGGAGTTGTTTTGTTCTCTACGCCTCCATTCATCTATCAACCACGTATACCTGCCCAGAGTTATATTAAAATCACATGCATACATCCATTAATCATTGTGAGAAAAAATTGGAAACATTACCTTAATTAATATTTGTTTAATGTAAAATACACCTATTGCGTGATACCTTATGCTAATGCAATATAGTTCTAGCCTTTTTTCATTTGCTCCA